ACTCCCACAATCCTTTGCCACAGGGTGTTAAAAGGTTTGTAGCGAAGGATTATGGGAAGTATTAAAAAGGTGAATTTAAGGTTTGTCAATTTTAACTATCAAATGAAATGTTTTATAACGATCTCCTTCAAAACTATCTGTTCTAGAAATGCGCTGTACTGCCTGGAATTTGGCATACTTCAATGGAAAACATTATAAATCTCTTATGCACATGTCACAAAGCCATATTGTATGAATTTCATTTTGTGTATCTCAAAGTCTGGATAGAAATTACATTTTCTATAGTGAGTTGACTTGATTGGAAGGTACATTTGATTTATCTTATTTTTTGGAAGATTGAGACTAAATGGAAAATACTATGTTTTAAAATCCTATTCAAGATTTGGCATGTGTCGATTTAAACGTTTCTTTTCAAGAAAATGGTAGCAAAGATATGATTATTTACAAAACATGACAAACTTGCTAGCTCTATATTTGGGGGTTCTCTCTCATTATAGAGCAACTAAACATTCTCACAAAATATTCATTTTGCATAGGGAAGGCTTTATCAAGTTTATGGATTTGTTACAATTTCACACATTGAAAATACATTTCATCCTTGATTTTTTCTTTAGATAAAATATTCTATCATTAATTTCATTCATATTGTTGTTTACAATGTAAGTAAACTTTTACAATTCTTGAGTTCTTGAAAATCTCATCATTAACATTGAAGCAAAATAATGTAGCTGTACATGTACATATACATGTATATACTATGTAGATACTTTTACCTTGTATCAAAGGTATAGGCTCCTTAAATTGATGGAAACACATTTATAAAGGGAATTGACCAATCACTGACACTGTATCATATTTTGGCAAAATCCGTCATTGTGTGCTTGATTCTGATTGGTCAGTTAACAAACCCAGCACCACTGGCACAACTACACATATTAAATATAAACGTTAAACATTATGTACCTAATAATAATAACTGTTACAGGAAAAAGTGCAGCACAGATCAAGCAAAGCTCAAGAATTCTGACAATCTTCAGGGCTGGATTGTCAAGCACTGGTTTACAAAGTCTTGTCTGAGGGGTATTGTTGCCAAAAACATACCAAATCAGGTCTTGAAATACGTTTTTTCTCCGCATGCAAATTTTACCTGCACCACTCAGAATTTAGGAAGTATGGATCCCATTAAAAAAACTGTTCAGAAATCATTGCCATTATTTCTTTCATACTTCAGTCAAAATGTGGTTGGTACCAGTCAATACTAATTTCACATAAAGTTCACATATTATTACGCATAATATTATATGCATGAACCCAGTACATCCATACTGGTGCAGGTAGACATCAGAAATACCTGCACAGCTCCAATTTTACCTGCACCAACCTGCAAATGCATGTGGCATTTTGAGCCCTGCATACATATACGGTTGAATACCAGTATGTAGCTTAAAATTGGTTTCTTCCCACCTGAAAACACTGGGTACTCTTCACTCCTGTAGAACCAGAAGCACAAATAAGCAAACACAAAAGCAAGGAGAATGTCTAAAGCACAGGACGGCTCGCAGCACATATTGCAAATACAGGAGAAAATCGCATTTCAAGATAGAAATCCCTTTGCGATTTGAAGGCAAAATCAACTACATAGTTACTCTAAAACAAAAATACCTAAAATATAAGATACTGGCAATTAAGATATGTTGATATGAACCAAGATCTCAGCATTTCTGTTGTTCTTGTACCCAGAACAAGCCCTGGTGGGCTTGACAGACTTTTTCCTGTCAAATTAGGGCATTTTTTAACATTCCATTCAACATATTTTCACAAAAATTCTGCATGTTTTTAAAACTTAGATAATACAACTCATTCCAGTATTGTATACCTTGTTTACCAGACATATGTATCAACAACATTATAATTTGCAAAATGTCTAAAGAGGTACTTAGCTTTGTTTGAAAATTGTAGAGTACTTATGGTGTATTGTTCTGCATTCCCACATAGTATCTTTCTTAGAGAAAAAGCGTTTGTTCGAAAGTCTCTTCCGACCCCACAACTTTTAAGGAGATTGTCAACCTTTACAGCAACAATGTGCAAATTTATACCATTTCATGTACCTTCCAAAAATAATTTCATCGGGTTGGTAGAACGTAGGATATTGTAGTTTCCTTTTACACAACTAGTAATGTCTCTCACCTTGCTTATGTTTCTTTGTCTATTGGACATTTTCCTAAGAGCTCAGAGCAAATGACCCGCTGCAAAAGTGCCACCTACATCGGCTACACATAGCATCAAGAAGCAGAACTCCTGTCAGAAGCTCTGAGGAACATGTTTGTTCGGCATTGAATAGTAAGCATGGTGAGAGAAATGACTAGTTGTGTGAGAGAAAACGCCACTATCCTATGTTCTACTAACCTGATGATATTATTTTCAGAAGGTACTGGTTGTGTAAAAGAAAATTCCAATATCTTTTCATAAACAATTTCAAAATCACATGTAGTCCGTCTTCTGTACTTCTGTACAGTCCTAATGCACTTCGTGGATCCCGAACACCTCGCGTAGAAGTGGCGGTATGGGCCGGCTGGGGTTCTTCCCCACGTCAAACCGTTTCAGCATGTCTATGTGCTCGGTGGCGAGCTGACGGAGGTCCGCCAGTTTGACGAGAAGTCGCGCCAGGTGGCGGGGGCTGGACGGGTGGTTCCGCTTCAGCTGGAACTCCAGACCCTCCGTCATTCTCTCCTGAATCTCCTCGATCTGCTGCCGGTTCACCAGATTGGTCCGATCTGTAACAAACGTGCACTCTCATTGGACAAGCAAAGTCTAGAAGACTGCATTTTATTGCTGGAACATGTACTGTATATGTCAACGTACTGTCACACATTTATACCTTGTTTTGGCCCTTTTGTTCTACTTTCCCTGGTACTAAAAACACCACCCCTTTGCTTGATGCTGAAAACACCATCCCTTTCCTTGGTTCTTGAAACACTAACCCTGTCCCTGAAAACACCATCCCTGTCCCTGGTGCTGAATATACTATCCCTGGCCTTGGTACTGAAAATACTATCCGTTTCCTTGGTGCTGAAAACACTATCCCTGTCCTTGGTACTGAAAATACCATCCCTGTCCCTGGTGCTGAAAATACTATCCCTGGCCTTGGTACTGAAAATACTATCCCCGTCTCTGGTGCTGAAAATACTATCCCTGGCCTTGGTACTGAAAATACTATCCCTTTCCTTGGTACTGAAAATACTATCCCTGTCCCTGGTACTGAAAACACTATCCCTGTCCTTGGTACTGAAAACACTACCCCTGTCCCTGGTGCTGAAAACACTACCCCTGTCCCTGGTACTGAAAACACTATCCCTGTCCTTGGTACTGAAAACACTACCCCTGTCCCTGGTGCTGAAAACACTACCCCTGTCCCTGGTGCTGAAAACACTACCCCTGTCCCTGGTACTGAAAATACTATCCCTGTCCCTGGTGCTGAAAATACTGTCCCTGTCCCTGGTGCTGAAAACACTATCCCTGTCCCTGGTGCTGAAAACACTATCCCTGTCCCTGGTGCTGAAAACACCATCCTTGTCCCTGGTGCTAAAAACACCATCCCTGTCCCTGGTACTGAAAACACTACCCATCTTTTTCTGTCAGCGACATCGCATTTTTGCCTCATAGTTTGCCATGGGATAGGATTGACTTAACTTACAACATTAAAAGAATGACCACAAAATTACTCTGAAAATCCAGTTTTGCCCTCCTGAAATTGAATTGAATACCTTTAAAGCTACAACACGTACGTACCTGATGACATGATGATGATGCTACAGAACAGGGCCATTTCCGTCTCCGTCAATGACAACACGTTGATGGCCTTCCAGAACTGGTACTTGGGCTCCATGATCGGCCACAAGCTCAGCGACCGCATCGCTTCCAACGTAACGACCACGCCGGAGTACCCGATATAGAATTTCAAATCGTAAAGCAACCGGGACGCTATGACCAGACACACTTCGTAGCTACTATATTTTAGCAGTGTAACCTGCGGGTTAAAAAACAATTTCATCATGAAGACACTTATTTTCATAAGTTTTATTTTTAGTTATTTAAGTTTTGCAAAATTTACACCGTGTAGTTTGAAGAACTAAAAAGCAGCGAGGGTGCCACTAGTGCATATTAAGCAGAAAGACTTTAATTTTGAAAAGAATCTTTTCAAAATTAGATGAAAGAGATTGACTCAGGAAAGATGCAAGAATGTGGCAAGCAGGGGCATTTTCCAACCAACCAAAATTACAGGAGCAAAATGCCAGCAGAGAGAATTCACTCCAGCGCATGCAGAAGTTAGCTTTAAGAAAAGCAGCCAACGAAAACCCTACTAACATAAAGTGACAAACAATTTAACTATGCCTCCTAGCTGCTCATATTAAGACTGCAGTAAAAAGCAGCTTGACAATTGTGCATCCAACAAGCCTCTAGCACAACCTACTATTGCTGTTAACCATGACAACTTCTTGAACAAGCAAGAAAGTTTTTCAGTGGGCCTTTCAATGTGCCAAACTTTGCAGAGGCTGACTATAGAGTATCTTGTAGCAGCATCATCTAAGAAAATCAAGAAAATTAGTTCTTCCCTTACCTGGTCATTTAAGTCCAACTCTAAGAAGCCAGGTATCCCTTTAGCGAACTTGGCCATTGCCTCGATGCCCCGGACTGTCTCCTTCTGTAGAGCGTCTAAGATGCGTTGTACGTCAGACAGAACCACTCCAGACTTGGGGAACAGGGCGTCCAGTATGCCCTCTCCTGGGGGGAAGGGCTTGTCGTACAACTTGTGATCCTAAACAGAGACCGCAGGCAGTCAGGACAGGCATAAAGCTCTGAGTATGTTCAGTCATATGTATGACTATGTCTGGGTAGAGGCTTCGATCTGATAAAATTGGTGATTCTACTGGTAAAGATCCCGGATGGTCTGTCAACAGAAACTCTGATCGAGATCCCAATTGGAGGCTGTAAATTTTAATATATTTGCTTAAAAGACAGTCAGAACTTTTCAACTTTGATACATGTCACTATAAATCGATGGGTCGACTTGAAATTTAGGATTTGAAAATGGGAAACCAGCCTAACACATTAAAACTTTATAATCTGATACAATCTATGTTCCCCTTCTTTATACATCTAAGCTGTACAGATAAATTTATATTTCTAATGAGCTTAGACAAACCTTCTGTATTGAAACATATCTGTTCTTACATTTTTGCCATTACTAAGAAACGAGAAGAAACCGAATTCACTTGATTGTAGCTAGCGCTACTTGACGATGTATGTATGTAACGTTATCTATATTCCATCCTTTTTTTGTGACCTGTACTTAACCCAGTGGGTATGTGTGTACAATAAAGGTCTTCATTCATTCATTCATTAAAAGCATCCTGATCAGAGTCTCTGTCAGGATCTCTACCGGTAAAAACACTGACTCTACCAGACCAGAGTCTCTACCCCTATAAACTACCACCTGGATGTATAGTATTACATAAAATACAATTAAAAGCATGTAACATTTTTGAATAGCTCATCATAAAAGATGGCAATACTGCAATTCTTTACCATGGTGTTCTCTTTGATCTTCTTGCGTATGACCTCCATCTTGGCGTGGGTGATGCAGGTCTCCTCGTACACCCTGACAATGCTGTCAATCATCACCTTCAGCTGGATCTCGTGTTCCGCCTCGTCAAACACGCTGTCCTTCTTACTCTGCAGTTCCTGGATTATCTTCTCCCGCTCAACCTTCGGCATTCTCCCAAAACGGACAGCTGAAACAACAATTCAGAGACCTCCATGAAATACGTAGATCTTGTGTGATGGTGACTGTGTCCTCTTCTCATTCACCATGGTGTCTGCAAATCTTTCTTGATAGGCAAGGGAAACAATTCCAGCTGTCAAGGAGGTCAGTGCAGCAGAGACCCCTGTGGAATTGCTTTAGTACTGCAACACTGCCAACATGACATGCAAATAGCACTTGGGTCACAAAGCTGATGAAGACTGAGCAATTCAGTCGAACAGTTTAATTTTCTTCATGTATTTTACCAACTCAGATGAACTTTCATGCTAGAATAGTACGTGGTTGGGGAAGGTAGTTCAGCACCAAGGAAAGGGACGGTAAATGTGTTTGTTGTCAAAACGCAAGCAAAAGAAAAGCAAAGAGACCAACTCACAGTCGTGTGACATCCCAGCGTTAAGGCACTTCTGGAAGCGGCAGTACTGGCACTTATTCCGGCTGCGTCTGTGGACGGTACACGAGCCGTCACACGGCTTGTACGTCAGGTTCTTACGTATCGTGCGGCGGAAGAAGCCCTAACAGGAAAAGAGAACATTTGTTGAGACTCCTGGATACATCAAAAGGCATAGTATAGCTTGTACTCCCTAGAGTTTAATGCAAAATATTCAGTTTAAAGAGATGTAAAGCAAATAGCAATGATGGCATTTACCTTTAACAATAGGTTGAGGTCAGAAGCCAACAAACAGATACACATGTGCACAACAACCCAATAATAATACACGTCATGTACTTCATTCCCTTGCTTCATTAATATTCCTCGTAACAAAACCCGACTTAAAAATATTAATGTATGGTGCAGTTAATAAACATATGTCAAGTTTCTATTTCTAAACTTTATTTTGAGGAACACACTATTATAATAATAAATTTTATTACTTCTAGCTACCAACAAATTTTACAAAACGGGATGGACAAAAAATTGAAACCTACCTTACACCCCTCACATGAGTGGACACCATAGTGGAAGCCTGACGCCTTGTCATTACAGATCTTACATGGGATGATCAGCACTGTTTCACCAGTATCTACAGATGCAAAATCTGCACACAAAACAGAAACATGGAATAACATGGTTAGTATACTTAGGAGATATGACTTTCCATCAAGACATCATGATCACTTCTATGTATAGGGGTATATATCCTGGCTTGTTACACCTGTATAATATAATACATAATTTGGTGTTCCATCAAGTTGATGCAAAACATTCACTTCTATGAATTTCAGGTGTAGCAGGCCAGAAAATACCCCTGGCCAATGTATACCTGGGTACATTCTGGCCAGGGGTATATCCTGGCTTGCTACACCTGTATAGTATAATACATAATTTGGTATTCCAACACAGTATACATCTGTACTTGGCCCAGACTTGAACTTCCAACGGTCAAACACACAATCACACATCACATGTACTATATATGTAGCTCCTGGCAGCCTACTGAAGGAAAACATGTTTTCTTCCCATTTGCTGAAAATTGGTACAATTTCTTAACACCATTAGTTAGAGTGTTGGTACAGTGTAATCTTGGCACAGGTTCTGTGTAGTCAATTTCACTAAATTACAGGTCAGTGATGCTCACAACATGTAATTCTGCAGGTTACAAAAAGGATTTTGGCTGGAATTGCGCCATTGCTGAGATTACTGGTAGTCAGTAATAGTGTTATTAAATAATGTATTAATATCTGAATGTTTCCATCTTGTTCATGTATAAGGCCATACTGTTTCAATATGCTGTTTCATCTTTAAACATTTTACAGGCTGGTTTCAGACCTGCACAGAAACTTGCTACTATACACACATTACATGTACAATATTGTATTACCAAATTCCCACGAAATGAAGTTAAACTAAAAGAAAACAACACAGACTTCCAAGAATTTCCATTGACGTATAAATCATTTTCTGAGAATCTAAATAAGGAACATAGTCATTTGCACTGACTGTGCAAAGTGAAAAACAAGTTAACAATGTCTACTGTTAATGATACATTATTACAAGTTGTTAACCTTATATTTATGAGATCAGACTGCGTACATTTATACACATGCTGAGAAGAATTGTTGTATTCAGGTGCCGTCAAGTAGAATTAATGCACAAATGTACAGTCTGAGAAAGTCTGATATCCCATTCACATTGGCCAATTCAGCGTAAAAACGATTAGAGTTCATACATAGGCACTCATTTCTATTCCCAATGTAACACATTATAGGTATGAATACAATGTGACTTGAATGTGGTGAGTCAGGGTGCTAACACTTGTTATTCTAACAAAAATTGTACTGTAACTGTTTGTTTGACAAAATGACAACAGAAGTATGGAAACGAGAAGCAATTTCACATCAAGAGAAGAACAGGGTGTATTTAGATGCCTATAAAATTTGTATTGCCAAAGTTTGCATACAGTACTGTATGGGGTTCTCTTCAGATGAATGTTGATGCTCTCAAAATGCTTTTTATTAACGGTATTTGATCAATCAAAAGATAAATGTTCCCATTGAGATTTAATTTCTGACTGTTGATATCAGAGGAACCAAGCTACAAGAGCCAAACCTTAAACAGCAAGTTTCCCAGATCATTGGTGATTTGTGAATTGCTTTCATCTTCAGATGGGTGACTTAATGGTCAGATTCAATCAACTATTAACACAAGGCCCAGGTGTAGCTCCAACTTCAAAACAAGAACACCAGCCAACTTGGCATCCAAATGCCAATTATGTAACATTACATTCATTTTTCTCCATCATCTTGACATTTTAGAACTATAGATAGTCTATTGTGTATGAAAAGCCTTTCTAATTCTTCTAGAACTACAGGTAAATGATAAAAGATTGTACTGAATGGTACATGTACAGGGCATCTAATCTTAATTGAAATATGGATTCATTAATATTGCTAAATAAAACATATTTATGTTACATTTCACTGTCAGTAGTGGGATAGACAGGAGCAATAGCATAGTGAGTGAGTAAGTGAGTGAGTGTGTATAGCCGTCTTTCACAAACACAGTTTACACGAAATAAAGGTACACAAGAAACATGTTTAAAGAGTAACAGGGCTGACATATAGTTGGGCACATCAGATGGAGAGATAGATTAGATAGTGCGACTTGCACTTGGACATGGCTAGAAGCCAACTCAACGACAACTGTCGTACATTCCCCTCACTAGCTGCTGTCACGTACACCATCCCAACATTTCTACATGCGCAGCAGACTCACTTGATAAGGCCACACCAATTTCATTTGTTGGTTCTTGGATTCGCCCGCTTCATTTAAAAAAAAAGTTGATTCAGGATCTGAATCATCTCCGAAATATTTTGGTCCCAACAGTTGAAGAAAGTCCCTTCTCTTCAGAGTTGTTACAGTTTTTCCATCTATCAATGCAGTGATATCGATTAAAAGTTTTAAAGTCATTGTCAGAGTTGCAAAGCAGTCTGGTATGTTGACTTCATGGCTTCTATCATAGCATTAGATCTAGGCTTGTTTTTATGTTATCTTTTTTCGCCCTGTCATTTCATATTTTTTGGGGAAAAATCCAAGAACCAACAAATCAAATTGGCCTGGCCCAAGCTTGCAAAACATGTACATGTGGAGAGGGTGAAGGTTAATCCATGTGTGCATGTTCCATGGAGTTTGAAGATATCAGTCATAATAAACAGTATCCAGACTGCAGACAATTATAGCTTCCAAATGTTCTCCACCTATCTATCATTCAATGACAGCTTGTCTTTGGCTCACACTGTTAAAAAAAGTTTTTGAGGAATCATCTGAAATCCATCACATTTTTGCATAACAAACAATCAGATTCCAAATCTGATTTACTGATCTTGCAGTAGGATTGCTAATCACACAATCAAATCATAATTATGTACCAACTAATTAAGATACTTCTGTGCAATTAATGGTTAATGAATATATAACTTCGTCAGACTACGTCCTCAGCATAACAACTATTAACTGCAAAGGCCTCTTCATACTTATTGTAAATCGACATGAGTCAAGGAAAACCAGGCAGAATGAAGAATTGCTAGAGCAAGAATTTCTAGAATGTACTTGAAATATCCAGGAATTTTTCATTCAGACAGCATTCTGGTTCATTCTGCCCCTTGTGTCAGAAGCGGGTATGTTTAAGTGTTACAATATGGCACAGTAACTCAGGGGCAACAGGCGGCCAGCCAAGCTAAAATAGAGCTGGAACGCGCAGTTGTAACAAAACGGCTATAACACGATAAGCTGGGCAGAATGTGTATTTATGAGTGGGTAAGCGGATTACGGCATGTAGGTCAGCCATCTGCGTAACGACTGCTTACACGGCACAGCTCCGCCGAACCCGATATCCACGCCTCAGTAAGTCCCTGCCAAGGTATCCGTCTGGAGGTCAACGAACCTTCTGGTGATTTATGGTTCTCTTACTACACTTGTCAAGGGGAAAACAGCCAAGTGGTAAATCCAAACACATTTTTTTTAACGGAGTGGTTCAATGCAAGGCCTGTACGACCACTTCTCGGCATTGAACTAGAAATATGAGAGAAACATGGCTATGTCAAGAGATGGCGGTGAATGTTTGATATGAAAGCCTGTAGATTCTAGGTTGGTGGGAAACACTTGTCATGGAGGGAATTCCAAAGCTTGGGCGTACGGGGAAAGAAACTGTCACTGCAAAAAGATTTCGAACAAGGAATTTGGACGGTGAAGTTGTGTGAGCTAGTGGAGAACCTAGTGGAACGCTTAAAATAAAAGTTCTGAGTGGTGGAACTAGTCGAGTGAGTTCTTGGCACATCTAAACATTATGGGTTAAACATACAGTACTTACTGTCACATTAGCATTAAGTATATTCAATGTTAATGTTAGGGCTAACATAAGAATCAATATCATATGTCCAGTTATAATTTACTACTTCAAAGTCAAAGTTCCTGTACACAACTATAACTTCTTGAACTTGCCAGCTGCCATCATCAAGGCATAATAGACTGGGAGAAGGGCCAAGGTTATATTGACACTGAGATGAGACACCCTGGAATAGGCTTGAGCAACTTGGATCAGAAAATTTACACACTGTGAGCCTCAGATTATGGGGGGGTAGTACTAACTGAGGGCCTGCAAGGGGGGATCCCGACAACGCTCTACGCTGAATTCAGAAACCTGTCGATTACGCTTTACGATAAATTCCAAGTGGCTACAACGCATTACGTAGAATTAAAACGTCGAATACGCTCTACGCAAAAATATTGGAGCGGTCTGTCTACGCTCTACGTAGAATTAAAACGGCCGATTACGCTCTACGGAAAAGGGCTTGCGGGCCCCCCTAACTCTGACTGAGTCAATTTCTTCCTCCCTTCCTCCCACTTTGAGTACTATATATCAAAGGTTCATTCACCATGGATAGAAAGATTAATCACGTGCCAAACCACACTCTATAATTGGTAGTGTTTCAGTATTAAACAATATGTAAAAAGGTGAAGAAAGGGTTACATAATATATTACCTGATACATGTATGTTGGCAAAACCTTGAGTTTATTCACAAAAGTTGAACCATGTACAGCTTTAAGGCAAGAATAATCTGTTCTTTTGTTTGCTGGATTTTTCCATGAAAAAAAAACTACTGAATAGATGTTTATCATTCCTGGGCATGGAAGTATTGTTTTGGGTGGGTGAGGTGTGGGTTTGTGTGTCTGTTTGTCTGCACAGAGAGCAGGTTGACAGCACATGGGTGAAAAGAAGAGTGATGACAGGCAGAATGACAGGAGGTCATAGGTTTTAGAATCTGGCCAAGAAGTTTGAAAGTCTCAGAGTTCTTGTTGTTTTCTTTTTCTAATTAAGACATGACTAAGTACTAGTATGTTAGTGAAGACAATCTGAAAGAACTTACTAATAGGCCTTGACTCACATTACTAGTAACTTATCTAAACCAGTAGTTGGGTAGAGAATTGTATGATTTTCAAATTATAACTGCCCAGGTTTTTGACAGTCCACTACCCCTAATAATTGGCTATTACTATTTTCTACCCAAACATCTACTTGCAAATAAATACTAACCTCC